ACATGCAGTCCTTATGAACTAAATATGCGCCAATAATATCAACTAAGTATGCACATGTTATGAACTAAATATGCATCTGTTATGAACTAAATATGCATCATGAATGAACTAAATATGCAGTTAAAAATATGCAATAAAATGTGCATTTTATATAGGTAATCTATGATGCATATTTAGTTAATTTATTATGAATATTTAGGTAATTTATGATGCATATTTAGTTAATACGAAATGCATACTTGTTATATTTAAATTAAATATATAATAATATTTATATAATAAATTTATTATGCATATTTACTTAGTTCATGATACATATTTAGTTCTTACGAAATGCATATTTAGTTCATTCCTGATGCATATTTAGTTAGTAAAATGTGCATATTTAGTACATAAACAGTGCATACATAGTTGATAGTTGATATTACTGGTGTATATTTAGTTCATAAGGATGACATATATAATTAATTTCTTATGCATATTTAGTTCTTACTAAGTGCATAGTACTGTATGCATATTTACTTCATACACAATGTCATACTATGGGTGAACAGTCAATGCTGAAAGTCAACGCCGAAAGTCAACGGTCAACGTTGGAAGTCAACGGTCAACACCGGAAGTCAACGATTTTCAACGGAAGTCAACGTCGGAAGTCAACGGTCAATGCCGGAAGTCAACGGTCAACGCCGAAGTCAGTGGTCAATTGTCAAAATAATATTTAAATAATTAAAATAATAAAGAAAAAGAATAAAGTAATATAAATAAAGAATTGTTATAAATGAGGAGTTAAATCTTGGCCACACATCATGTACCAATCTAGTGGCTAGGAATGAGTCTCACATTCACACTTTAAATATGTGGACTCATTGGATCCAATCCATATATATATATATATATATTGTATAAACTGGTATTTGTACTTCTGTGAGGAAATCTTATTTATATTCTCAGTTTATACCTCTTTATGGGTACATATTATAGTATTTATGTTAAGAAAAATGATGGAGTAAAGAGTCATAAACATTGTACCGATAATCATATCGGACGAGCCATAATCATATGGGAAAACATATTCTTCATTTTATAAATATAAGACAATAGAAAACCATCTGAACTTGTTAATATGATTTGAGTTATAGATATGATAGAAAATGAGAATGTAAAAACTTTTGATAAGTAAACAAGGGAAAAAAAAATTATGTAAACCAATGACAAGTGAGAACAATAGAATGCTAACTTCTTAAAATAATTTAACATTTTAAAAATAAAAGAAGAGGTAGAAATTATTTTCTGTACACATTTGCTTTCTGACACCTCAATCTCAATTCCAACTGGCAGAACAAAATCAAAGATCCATACAATATGAATTTGCTATGCGCATCGATTCTTTTGCGGCCAATTAGATACAAATTGTCAAAACACAATGACAGAGAACTTATTCCAATCCAAAAGATTGTTGAACGGCAAGACAATGCCATCTTCCACGATTGCTATAAAATAAATCCCAAAGTTTAGTTTTCTTTCAACGAAAAAAACAAAATTAAAAAAGTTGAAAATGAACTTACTTGGTACACAACCATTAAATATAGCTATCGTTATGCAAGCGTTTGGATTGGGAGACCACGCAACACAAAGGCAGAACTTGGCTTTCCTCATCTTGTGACCCATTTCCCTCGCCAATACTCTAGTCTTTATGATATCAAAATCCTGGATGCCGGAACACCGTTTTACTAGCATCTTTCAGGTCTTAGAGTTAGCAACCCATTTCCAGTATCCAAGAGTACTGTATAGAGATAATATCCCACAAATACTTAATTCATAATAAACTCAAAAGTTGATATGGCAAACTCAGCTATTCTTCAAATTCTTTACTCCGTAGGGTGTGCTGTGGAATCTGGCATGCCACAAGGGGAAGATATGGTTCTGATAAACTTTGACTTTCAATTGGCCGAACACACCACTCGAATTGTTTTTTTCAGCATCGGCACTCGTGCAGTAATTCTCTTGTCCCTACTAGAACAGGCGACTATAGTATGATCAACTCCATGTGACTTATTCCAGTAGGGATTGTTCAGACTGATTCGTCTTGTATAATTTTTAGTGCTGACGTCGGTATCATGTTGCTTCTTAAATAAGAATGAATACAATAAAAAAATATAAAACAATTAGCTTCAAATACTCATATTTTATCAATCAAAATTTAAAACGTTTGATATTGTTGAGCCATAAGTAAACTCGTGAAACAATCGATACTTTATTAATAATAAAAATCTCAACAGTCATCATCCTAATGAGTGAGCTGAAACCAAACAGGATGATGAAGTGTCGATTGTCTCACAGATTTACTTATGGCCAACAATGTCATACATTTTATATTTTGATTCACAAAATATGAGTATTTGAAGCTAATTGTTCTATATTTTTTTATATTCGTTCTTATTTAAGAAACAACATGATCCTCGATGTCGAATCAACACTAAAAAATTATGCGAGACGAATAAATCTGAACTAGACTATCCCTACTAGAATAAGTCGCATGGGGCTGATCATATTATAGTTCTAGTGGGGACAAGAGAATTACTGGAGGAGTGTCAATGCTGAAAAAAAACAATTTTAGTGGTGTGTTTGGTCAATTGGAAGTCAAGGTTTTGCAGAACCAATGATGTATCTTCTCTTTATGGCATGCCAGATCTCACAGCACCCTACTGAGTAAAGGATTTGAAGAATATGTTAGTTTGTCATGTCAACTTTTGAGTTTATTACGATTTAAGTATTTATGGGAATATGGATATCCATATGCAGGACTACTCTTGATACTGGGGAAGTGTTGCTAACTCTAAGACCCGAAAAATACTAGTAAAATGGTCTTCCGGCGTCCAGAATTTTGATATCATAAAGACTAGAGTATTGGCGAGGGAAAAGGGTCACAAGATGAGGAAAGTCAAGTTCTGCCTTTGTGTTGCGGGGTGTCCCAATCCAAACGCTTGCATAACGATAGCTATCCTTAATGATTGTGTACCAGGTAATTTCATTTTCAACTTTTTTAATTTTGTTTTTTCCGTTGAAAGAAAACTAAACTTCGGGATTAATTTTATAGCAATCGTGGTAGATGTCATTGTCTTGTCGTTCAGCAATCTTTTGGATTGGAGTAAGTTCTCTGTCATTGTGTTTCGACAATTTGTATCTAATTGGCCGCAGAAGAATGGCAAATTCATATTGTATGGATCTTTGATTTTGTTCGACCTGTTGGAATTGATGTGTCAGAAAGCAAATGTGTATAGAAAATAATTTCTACCTCTTCTTTTATTTTTAGAATGTTAAATTAGTTGAGCATTCTATTGTTCTCACTTGTCATTGGTTTACATAATTTTTTTTCCCTTATTTACTTGTCAAAAGCTTTTACATTCTCATTTTCTATCATATCTATAACTCAAATCATATTAACAAGTTCTGATGGTTTTCTATTGTCTTATATTTACAAAATGAAGAATGTGTTTTTCCATATGAAAGGTTCACCTGGGGATTGTTTGAATGAATGATCATGGGTGTTAAGGATAGGATTCTGTTGGACAAGGATGATATGGGGACTCTTCTCTTAATTTTTACTAACCTCTTGCTCAATAAGTATGCATAAAAAAAACTATGTCCGGTTAACAACAATTTTTTGTGATGGTATATTTATTCTGTAAGTTAATGAAGTTGTTTAGAGATCGATGTTACGTAGTTCTAGGATTGGAGTGTGGCTTTTGACGTGAAGTAATGTTTTTTCGCATGCATCTTTATGATTGATGGACAACCCCCCATTAATATTTTAATTTATGTTTTCCAGTATCAACATTTTCTGCATTTTTTATCCTCTGGCCAACTAATTTTTGGCTATTACTTGTTGTCCAATACAAGGATCCTACCAAGAATTAGAAATGAAGAAGACTTTATTTTTTTTATTTTTTTGGGTGAAAATGGTAAATACATTTGTATTTTTTGTTTTTAGTCATTTTGTGCTTGGTCTGCACGTTCAAAAGGTTTTAAAGAACTTGAGCAATATGAACGGCAGACTGAGAAACTATCTTTGAGGAAGCAACTTAAGTTGAAATGCAAAGAACAAAGTATTTTTAGCTTGCACATGTAATACAGTTTACCAACTCGGTGAAAGCCCATTCAGCCTGTTGTTGGTAAGGACTAGCAGCCTATTTTGTGGCTTGGGGGATGGGGGCCGAGCCCATTCAGCTGCTATGGTGCGTGAAGAATATGGGGATGTGCAACAATGCCTCGTCGTCTTAGGTATCATTTTTTTTTTCTTCTTTTTCATTTACCCAGTTGTAGTGTGAACTCTTCTGATGGGTATCGTGATGGTGATGGCTGGTTAGGTGTTTAGATGGTAATCAGGTGGTGCAACTTAACTTGTTGACATCATTTGGTCACTTTTTTGAGGCAAACGGTTAATTGATAATAAATTATCAAGAGTGACAATTAGATGTCATTTACATTATCAAAAGTTGTGTCTATGCTCAACAGATGCTTGTATTATAATTCCCTTTTGTGTAACATTATAATCGCTTCCGCATTTAATTCGTGTTTTTACACAAAAGTTGGTGTCACACTTGAACTGAAACATTACAGATACCAAACACATTACTTAGAAATATAAGAAAGAAACATTGTTTGTTTGTTAATCATGACGTAGAACGTCACACTCCATCCTCACGAAAGACAGTTGATTTCCCTTGAGATCAAAGGCAATGTAGAAAAATTGCTGCATGTAGTTCCCCAGGACGCCGAAGTCGAAGTTGTGCTGCTCAGATGGGGCTGCCGTGAGGCAGAAGTTGCCATCCCCATCGTCCTTGAACATGTTTACAGCCGTGAGCTCTAGCACGGCCCCTCCGTTGAACTTCAATTCCACCACAGGGAACCCCACCAGGTCCCTGCTCACGACCCCTACATAGCACAACAACGTGTACGACTCGGGGCCGAACTTAACCGAGTAGGTCCTAGTCAGGGTCCCGCCAATCACATCCACAACTGCAGCCTCGAGCTTTTTGAGGACCGACATGGGAAGTAAGGTGTACGTTGAGCCCAAGTCGATTAGCATCGACATGCGGAAGTCGAATCCCATGACGGTTTGACCTCTGACCGTGATGCCCTCGAGGTTGATGTAGTAATGA